GCACTCGGCATGATAAATTCCTGCCTCACAGAGTCTATGCCTTACTTTCTATCAATTAACAGAAGGACTGATGAAGGGGGTTATTGAAGCTTAATAATGTATGTTGTTGTGTGATGGAGGTATGCCCTCTTTTCCTGGCTGGTTGTGAAATGCAAAGGTATATCGGGTTGGCATTATACAGTATTTGAGAATACTTACTTTTCGCCTCAACGGGTAACGGAGGGGCAGCCATGTGGGCCATGCCTAGAATATCGATAGTTCGGAGGCTAAGGTCTTCCCGCTCCGATTGGAAAAACTTATGTTACAGTTGACTGAGAAGGTCGAAATCCCGTGATTGACAGTCAAGAAGCAATTGTTTGGCCTTGTTGTCGTCAGATGATTACTATGAAAAAATTTATGAAGCAAAAATGCCACCAGAAGTTTATTTTAGCTGGCGTGTTCTGTTGATGTACCTCTCCTGAGTCTCCTGTAAGCAGAAGCCTGTTGGGCAGTATGCCAACATTACAAACACTGGACGTTACAAAGTGGAACACACAGCAGTTGACTACTGACCAGATTAGCATTATCGTCCTGTGCTTGCACTGTATCATCGATTCCCTGATTTGGCCAAGTTGCGGAGCATGATCAGGCCCATAAGCGTCACAGACAGCATATTTTATTGGAGCGATAATGACCCTCGTTATTCTAGAGCACTGCAAATCCAACATAATTTGCCTACAGTGATATTGTATTCGTCATTGATTCTAGTCCGCAGGCCATTGTGATGCGCAGACATATTGACCACACTAAATTGGCTATTTTCTCGGACTAAGTCCATGAAAATGCCCAATAGCATGCTCGCGGACCAGTTATGGTGGTAGGCGTGCTATGGCAACCTAATGCAGTGTAACTTGCACTGCTGCTACATTGCGAAATAGTGACGTCTGGTACCCAAAAGGTGGATGTCGGCAGGTAAAATATTTAGCAGTATGCCTGGCGCCGTTTTCGTAGCAGCACCGCCAAGAACCACCGTTGCCACAACGTCTACTACCTGCCAGCTTGCTGGTTTACAACAACATGCTTGCAGGTTAGGGGCAGCCTTGTTCGCAAGCATTGCCTGCGCATTTGTGCATATGACGACAGGAGAAGTGCGATTACTACCATGTGATCAACTATCCTCAACTAAATGATTGATGACAGCAAGCGCTCAGCCTTCCCGTCAATGCAAACTTGTGTGACTCAGTTAATTTTCTTTAGTTTATTTTCCTTTCGCCTGACCAGCTTATTGCGCCCCACGGCTGTTGCCTAACTTTATTTTCGTCTGGACATAAGATACCTACTCGAACGAAGGCTGCAATACATGTATCACTTCGACATTCAAGCAGGTTCATAGACAATTCATTGCTATCGCTTTTTCATGTCTCAGGTGTGCCTCTACCCTCTTGCCTTCCAAACTACTCCACACTAGCAGGGTTTTAGGATGCGCGTAGATTTGTCCATAGTATCAAGGACATACTAGAGATCTTTAAGCAGGTGAACTTTCCCGGGCTGTGCAGTTTCAAAGTCAACGGCGTTGGGTTCTTGGGTTCTTGGGTTTTCGGGCCTCCTATGTGTGATACAGAGGTGCACCGAGGCTAGTGACGACGATGATCTGCATCAAAGTCAGCAACACGTGCCGGTCCAACGAGCAGTGCTAACGAGCTCGAACGCCTCGCAGGGTCGACAAATTGTGGCCAGGCAAGCACCATCGCTGCTATGGTCAAGCAAACCTCCCACTAATCATAGATCGAACTCCACTCTACGGCGGCTATTTCAGCGTGTGGCTTGACAAAGGCAGACTGCAATGTCACGAAAGAGCAAGGTAATCCAAGCGTACGACTGCTTGGGCGAGGCTAGCAGACGAAGAATGTTGCACAGAACGCACGATGCATGAGAAGGGGGCAATCACGATTTTATCCCCTGCACAGATGCATGGCTGCAAGACCGAGTAGGATACCGTCGTTTACCGAGGACTCCGCAATTCCGCTCGCGAGACATTAAGATAGCCGTCGGCGTTTACACTCGCTGTCTTACGAGATTTCTTTCGACTCTTGGATATTTTTCTCGCCGGCGACAGTGCTGTCAAGCCATCGCTGGGACGGCGTATATGAACCGAAGCTGACGGCCGACGACAATGCCGGTGCGCTATCGTTCGGGTGGCTTCGTGGGCGTTTTGTGATTTCTGTTGGTACTCTTCATATTACATACCGATGGAAAGTTTTTCTTCTAGTATACAAATACAAACAATAGAGGTTTTAAGAAAATGTCTGTCGCCGTTTATAAAACGAGCAGGCTTGCGGACTCCTCACCGCATTTACTAATTCAGGAAATAATTCCTCAGCGGAACATCTCTATAACTAATCCATGTGTTAGGCCAGGCTGCCAATCGCTAGCGGTCCCTGCATTATGCAGATACAAATCAAGCATCATTCGAGAACTGGCGTGTCTTTGGCTATAGGTGAGTCAACGCTGGTGAGGTAGGATGCGAAATATTCGACCAGTGAATCTAGGGATCCTGTGCGAAAGATCTGGACAGCGTGATGCCACTGCGAAACGGCGAGTAAGGCTGGGTTGGCCACGATCTCACAACTCAGTGATTCGAGGCTACGATTGAGTTCGAGAAAGCGTGTTTGCTTTCGAATAGCTAGCTCTTTGTAAAGCTCCTCCTTGGTTGTTGCCTTAGTGGCGATTTCCAAAAGGTCGAGGTGGAACGCCTGTGGATTCTGAATTGCTGATGGAAAGGTGTTGTAGAGTTCTTGGAGTTCTTTGAATTGGTCGTCAATCTGTAACCCGAACTTCCAGGCGGGCCAGGTCCGATCTAGATCGTCCATTTTGTAGGAGTCTGATTTTGACGTTTGTTGGTGGGTGTGAAGAGTTCTGGGATTGAGCTCCGTCGCGTTGTATGGGCATTCCTGTGTACCTGTGTTTATAAGCTACAGTGGGCGGGGCTCTACCAGTGACGTAGCTGGGATACCATCTGCCGGCCGATACCTACAGCTGCCGAGCACCCACCATGATACTGCGCGCACAGTGCAAATAACAGTGCCAGTCACAGTCAACCGAAGGCCCGGGATACTGTCTGTGCTATTAAAGAAAACTAAAGGGAGTTGTATCAAGATAAGCCAGGCTACGGACCTCCCATATGCATAAGTATGGCGGGAATTCAGAGCACCAACTCCCAGGCTAAGAAAGAATCGCGTCTTCGCGCGTTATACGGGGACAGGCTCCCCAGAAGCACACTACTCAGAGGGCAGCTACAGGTTAGCGTTTCAAGAACCTCTTCTGTTTTACGACTCCCTCGCCGACTTGATAACTTGAGTAGGAAAGGACATATTTCGATTCTGGCGATTATGCTCTTTCGCAAGCCCATAAGCCCACGAACATTGGTGAGGTGAAGACAGGTACGGAGCATCCGCTTCCCAGGACCATCTCCCATCCATCATCAGCTGTGCCTGCTTCTAGCAACGTCTCGGATGTACGTGGCGACATGAGTATGTGCGACCAGCAACAATCGACCGGCGTGAAGAACGAGAGTAATCTTCACGAGCAGGTAGCCCAAGCCCAGACCCAGAATCGGGATGTGGCAAAAAAGTGTACAAATTAGTTTTATAAGACCTTCGGGCTAGGAAGAGGCCAGAAGCTACGGAGTGTATGTACTTGTGTCTAGTTCGTTGGAGCAAACGTCCTTGTTGTTTTGCCAATTCACCGAGTTGTATGCCACATCCTGTGTTCGGTCTGTCAGTCATCCAATAGTCAAAGGGCTGCGTGGTGTGCAGACTCACACCACTACTTCGTCCTGTTGGAGTAGCAGCCAGGGTGCAGTCGAAGAAGGGCAAAGTTGCCGTATTTTCTGTATCAGCTTGTGCTGCATTGTTTGTTGTGGCATATCACGACAGCACGCCGTCGTAACAGCGAAAGAATTCAAACTACGTACCATACCTAGCTTACGAGAGTTTAAATCGCTCTTCCATTTTGCGAGGCTTGACGCGGTTGACGTATTGGTAGGTGTCCTTGCTCCAAGGCGTAGGAATGAGGTAAAGTCATCGTCAACGCGCGGCGTGAGGATCCCGAACCGCTCAGCAGTCAAACCAGGCAAAAAAAGCAAGGAATACTTTAAAAGTTTCACAAAGAGCTTAAAGGCGTATAGGAAGAGCTTCTACAGCTTATAGACCAGAAGTTGTTACCTATAACCACTTCCACCATATGCAAGCTTTACTAAGGTGCTTTCTGAGGGCGTCGGAAACCGCGAGTCCGATGGCTTGGTCAAGAATGCGACTACTATGCCCTGGTCCACGACCTTCTCGGGCCATCTCCCGAGGATTTTTTTCAACTATTGCGGCTGGCAGTTCTCGATAAAGACGCCTCCTCATAGCCGACCAGGCTATTTCTCGAGTCCAATAGATTCACGACAATGGGTTCCTGCATCGTGATATCAAGCCAAATAATCTTCTCATAGGAGCCGGGACTTAAGGATACATATTATACACAACTGAATTCAATTTGGCCAAGGAGTCCTGCAGTGCTGAGCGTTCTCAGACTATGCTTAGCCCTAAACTAGTACATTTGACAACTAGGCGGGTGTGTGTCAGTCAATTCCCTGCCTACTGCACTGATCATGATGTGGTCTTTCCTCGTCTTAGGAGCGGGGCCGTGTCTGATGCTGTCTCTGCAACCAAATTTACTAGCTCAACCCCAAGCCGTACTAGAACTCGGCCCACCACATCCAGCCAACCACTCGGCTGTAGGAGTCCGTCATGAAAATACTGACACGAGCTTCCGCTAGCGACCCGTCCTAGACTGGTCTGGTTGAGCAACTGCCTCAGATGTGATGGCGAGCGCCTACTATGTAGAAGCTTGAGTCATATCTCACTTGTGTCCAACTTGGCCACGGCCGATATCCAGATATCGGAACGACTCTTTGGTGTCCGGGCCGGGGGCTGGCTCCCTCTCGCAGACGATTCAGGCGTTCGATCATGCCCTTATCAATAGTCATTCTTATCTACCAGATAGCTCAAGCTCATTTTCGAAATTGGTGCCAGAGCGGCCTGGACGCCGGGTTGGCGAACTGGAGTCGAGGAGCTGCTCGAGCCGCTAGTTTCACTTGGCGACCAGAACTGTGATCCTGCACCAGGGCTGCTTAGACTCGAGAATTCAGCAAGTGATCGCCTCCTAGTGCTATTTTTATGAGCGCTGTGAGGCGCCAGTAGTCGCCAGTCGTCGTCCCGATCCATAACATCTCTCAGTCGCTTGCCAGCTAGGTTGATGTCCTCTCCTCTAAGATCACTGTAGCAGGCATATGGCTCCGTTGGTGACTGCCTAAGTGAACTATAGCATGAACCAGGGGCAAATTGAGGACCGCCATCACGGGGCTGGTAGTTCTGCAAGCCGGAGCCCGAGCTTGGCGCGAGAGAGCGGTCGTAGGCGCTGAAAAGCTGCGTGCCAGGCGGGCCGCCGCTCTGCAAAACAGAGAGCGCGACAACGGCGAGAGTGCTTGAAGATGAAACAGGCTGGAAGGTACACCCCTGATTCATTCTCACGCAATTCTGACATTTACCACCGGGAACGCTCTGATAGCCACTGCAACGTATCTGGCCCGAGTTAGTCACTTGTAAGAGTTGCGGGGTGCGGTCTGTAAATATACCTTTCGCTTTCTGCAGTATCTGCAAGCAATGGAAGTGCGTCGTCTTGGGGGAAGCTGTGCCATGGTGGGCGATCCGCCTCGTACAGACACGGGTGGATGAGCTGGGGGGAGGCCGCGATAATCGAGTGGGTAGCCATTCGGCGGCGGCTCTCTCTGACAGTAACAGTATGCATCCGGGTTATAGTCACCATACTGATTCTGTCGCTGATCCTCGTCGTGGCTGCAGTGTCTATTCTGGGGCGGGTAAACTTGCGATGGATGCTTAGAAGGCAGCTGAAGCGGTGGGGGGTTAGAGCCGGGATGACGCTGCGGGCATGAAGGCGGATAGCGATTGCCACCGTTGGTCGAGGCATATCGAGGGTCAACGGGGAAGTGTTGACCTGGCGGTGATGGAAGAGATGTGTAAGTGCCACTACGCGAATCGTGCATAGAGCTGAGAGTAATGGATATCACCATAGTGCCTCAGGGATTGGTATAGCATTGGGCCACTTCGAGATACGCGAGAGTGAGGGAACGAGTGTCTTGGTGCTGCCGTGTGACCTGTGTGTACTATAAGAACTTAGATTTAGGCATCTGCCTCCGTATTTTTTATAATTGATAAATCTATGCCTAGAGAAGAAATGTGCGAGCAAACCTGATCTGTCTGGTTTGAATAGATATGGCATGTGCGGACGACACTGTTAGGCAGTAGCCTATGCTCCAGGACATGCTGGACAAGCGAAACAAATATCACCAGTCACGCGAGTTTGCACAGCCGGGAAGGGAGGGGCGGAGAGCTAGCTGCCGTTCACTCAACTCTCAAATTTATACGTCATCAATACTGTGACTTAACAATGGTCCAATCACAGCATGGTAGGCGTTCCTGCTCCATTTGCCACGGTGTATGAATAGAAAGTCTGGTAGAGTATCAGGTAGATTTTTCCGCCACGGCAAAGCTTCAAGTAATGGCAAGACACTACGCCAACCTGATTGTACACAATTCAATATCAACTAGCGCAGCCTGGGCGACGCGTACGGGGGCGATACTTTTGCTGAACCTCCTCTTATGAGAGTTCCCGTGTGATTCTTCTCAAAAGATGGATTCTTTGATGCAGGGTAAGCCGTATCTGAGGTCTTGTTGGAACTAACATTTGGCCATCTAGGGATGATCCTCGCAGAGCAGGCTAATTATCCTTATAAAAGCTGATATTTAGGATAACAAGCGCCCCTTCATCTATATAGACGTGTCTCTGTTCTAAGAGAGGGATAGGATAATCGCGCCAGTTCCTAATAGGTTAAGGTACAAGCCGCAACCTTATTTATTTGTGCACAAGGTAGGATTCTTGTCAGCTCGGTTTTGCATTGCTATGATGTAGATTTGGGTTTTTTTTGGGTGGGCCTGTTTCTCTTGTGCTTTAATAGATCGGACTTTTTACTCCTGACTCCACCTTAGCGGGCACCAAGGACTCGCGATGGCCAATCTATTTTACGATCCCAAGCTGTCTCGAGGCTAGCAAGCTCCTGTGACAAGTACGTAGGTAGAGCAGACAGGTACCTAACTAGTAAGGAAGCTACTGACCTCCTAACCAATTACAGGATGGCCGTCGATTGCGCCTAGTGGAGCTGGATTTAAGACGGTAGTTGGTCATCATTCTTGACCGTCAACCCAGTGGGCTATCTCAACTGCCGAATATCATTGATTCGGAAGCGCTCTCCGACCGGGTTTGCCTACACTATTTTACTTGCTAGTGCGATCTTGATTTGATTGTAAATCGACAGAAACAGAGTGGCGAAGGCAACTCCCCTACAAGTACCGAGTATTTATTAATGCATGACGCCACGAACTAATGGCCTCTCTGAATCGGTAAAGCGCACCGTTCCTCACCCTACCTGTTTTGGGGAAGGGGAACAAGCACTAGCCTGTTCCGGTTAGTCACAGCCGGCTGCTTTAAGTTTTTAAGGGCAAGAGTTATCTAAGGCTGATGTATTAGTTACACTGTATGTCCACCTTCGTAGTTTGGGTTAGAACGTTATAGCAGCAGTCCTTTTACATCTCCTACTCAGGTTAGACTCGGCAAGATACGGTCAAATACTTATCGCCACCCTCTGTAATCCGTACAGATTAGAAGCAACGATGTGTGCCAATAATGATGGAGGTGACCATGAGGTTCTTGACGTTCTCTTGTGCGCTATCCGTTACTCTAACTTTCTACCTACCACTACATTCCTGACGCCGACTCCTAGTCAAGCTAGATCACTTTGGTCTTCCTATATCAAAAGGAACTCTTGATTACGCTCGAAAACACACAATCAGCTGGTACCGCATTTACTGCAGAAATAGCCTTTACGAACGTGAAACGCATAATATTAATTCTCTCCAACTTCTCGGCAACAGCATGTCCTCCTTCTCCAGATTAGCCCAACGGTCCTGCGCAGTCATGGGCAGACGGCTGGCTGTCAAGCCTTTGTCTCTCCGAACCTCCTTCAACGACCGGTTTGCGTCTACCATCGGTGCTGGAAGTGGCAAGATTCACCAGGTTCGTCGGGAAATGACACTTCCGGCCGAGCGGGTTTTACTAATGAGAACAACTCACAAAGGTCATCGGTGCTGTCGTAGACGGTTAGTGACAACTTTGTGATCTGGCTCACACAAGCCCTTTACCACATTAGATTTGCCGGGCTAATTTTATCTCAGTCAAATTTGATGTTGCCAAGTTGCCTGCCATCCTGAACTCTCTTGAGACGGACAATAATGGCCAGAAGCTCGTGCTCGAAGTCGCCGTAAGTGGAGTAACCGAAGGCAACTGGTGGGCATAATATCGCTAACTCAACCTTTAGCAGCATCTCGGTCAGAATGTGGTCCGCTGCATCGCCATGGATGGTGCGTTACTCCAAGTCGCTTGATCGGTTCCCCTTCCCTACCTCAAAATTGGCCCCAATTATAACTTGTCATAGGTACTGAGGGCCTCGTCCGTGGCGCTAAGGCAACAGATACTGGTGCCCCCATTACCATCCCCGTGGGCCGTGCCACACTGGGTCGTATCATGAACGTCACTGGGGACCCAATCGATGAGCGCGGACCCATCAAGACAGACACATTCTTACCTATTCATGCGGAGCCGCCTTCTTTCACTGACCAGTCCACCTCTGCCGAAATACTAGTCACTGGTATCAAGGTCGTGGATCTGCTCGCTCCCTACGCTCGTGGTGGAAAGATTGGTCTTTTCGGTGGTGCTGGCGTTGGTAAGACTGTCTTCATTCAAGAATTGATTAGCAATATTGCCAAGGCCCATGGAGGTTACTCAGTCTTCACCGGTGTTGGTGAGCGCACACGTGAGGGCAACGATCTGTACCACGAGATGCAGAAGACATCCGTCATCCAGCTTGGGGGTGACTCCAAGGTTGCCCTAGTGTTCGGTCAGATGAACGAGCCACCAGGCGCTCGTGCCCGAGTTGCTCTCACCGGTCTGACTGTTGCTGAGTACTTCCGTGACCAGGAAGGTCAAGATGGTGAGTCTTTTGATCTCAAGAAACACGTACAGCATGATCCTAGTGACCAACAGCTATCGTAGTACTGCTCTTTATCGACAACATTTTTCGATTTACCCAAGCCGGTTCCGAAGTTTCAGCTTTACTGGGTCGCATCCCCTCTGCGGTTGGTTACCAACCAACCCTAGCTGTTGACATGGGAGGTCTGCAGGAGCGCATTACCACCACCAAAAAGGGCTCTATCACCTCAGTCCAGGCTATCTATGTACCTGCCGACGACTTGACAGATCCTGCCCCCGCCACTACTTTCGCTCACTTAGACGCCACCACTGTTTTGTCCCGTGGTATCGCTGAGTTAGGTATTTATCCCGCCGTTGACCCTCTCGACTCCACCTCCCGTTTACTTGACCCTCGTATTGTTGGCCAGGAGCACTATGACATTGCGACCCGCGTCCAGCAGATCCTGCAGAAGTACAAGAGCCTTCAAGATATCATCGCTATTCTGGGTTTTGACGAACTGTCTGAGGCCGATAAGCTTACTGTCGATCGTGCTCGGAAGATCCAGCGCTTCTTGAGCCAACCTTTCGCTGTCGCTGAAGTCTTCACTGGCATCGAGGGTAGACTAGTTGAGCTGAAGGACACCGTCGCCTCGTTCAAAGCCATCCTTAACGGTGAATGTGATGACCTGCCCGAGGCTGCCTTCTACATGGTCGGTGACCTGGCGTCGGCTCAAAAGAAGGGTGAGATGATTATGGCGGGTCTGAAGAAGGAGTAGCGAAATTGTATGCCAGACGCCGTGATGGCTTAGGACATGCGATGGAGGGATTTCAGCTCTGCACGTTAGTTTTCGTGTGCATTAGTTTGGAAGATAAGTCAAGTTATGAAGTACTTGGCGTACATCATCGGCTATATGTTAGGTAGAGTCTTCTCTGTCGGCCGCATTGAGATGAATTGAATTAAGTCTATCTACCTCTATTGGAGTCTGGGCCGTATCGGTCGGTAGAGCAGCTTTTGTTTCCTGCCTGATTGTGTCGAGGTTGTAAACGCTGTCTCGGCTTCACCGCTCTGGTTAATTTGAGGATGCCACTAGGTGTGGTGACTTCAGTGTAGGAGGAGCGATTCGTCAACGTTTCTATCCGCGCTGCCCGGGGGCGAAGAAGATAATCCCTTGCGATTAACGTTATTTATCTGGTAAGCAGTACTCTGTTCTCGGGGGCGGCGGCTTGATTTGGAGCTGGTAGATCCCCTCCACGACTCTAACTCTATATTGTGACGCATTCCTCATCACTTATAGTTGCGCAACTACAGTCCTTCAACACGAGACTGGCGTCCTTGAATTAAGCAGATGCAAGAATACCTCATAAACCAGCATTGCTATAGCAGATGCCGGTATTGTTCCAATCAAGCTAGTACCCATGCCAGAGTACAAGGCACGCCAGCCTTCCTCCAGCAATATAGTTCTTAGAGTGCCTACAATACCTCGGTACGGCCGCGGATATTTCCCCCGCAGCACTCCAGACTCTCCCTCCCGTGAGATTTTCTGCTTTCCGGATTCACCTCCGTCTGGCTGGGCTAGGTCTTGTCCATCTCGGCGTATACTTTGTTGCGTTTGCAATCTCGTTCGGATAACTTCGTGTGGATATGTGGCCAGAGTCGCAGTCGCTTTGCTCGCGGAGCTGGCAGTTAGTATACCTAGAATCTGGAGTGGTCCCTCGTCTGTGTGCCAACTTCCAAGTCCCGATCCAGTCAAATATGTTTTCAACCATTCATATAAAGGAAACTGTATAGCCAGGTGTGTCACCCCGAGCATAGCGGGGGTCAGGCCTGAGTAGAATGAAGCCATGCCTTCTCGGCTGTACATCTTCCAAGCGGCATCTACGGCAGAGTTATATTCTCTTGAGGTATTGTGTGCCGTGACAAGTCTCTGAGACATCAGTCTGGTTTTGATGACCCATAATGGATTCGTACACATAATAGAACAGCAGCCACCGACTACTGCAGCGAGTGAAGCAGTCCACATGTGCTGCACAGCTATTGGCGGATATCAGCAAGCTTTTGCAGTTTAGGTGCTGCTCAAAGGGATTACTCACGGAATGTTTTTCGTAAAGAATCGCCGACCTTGTGATACACGGCGAAATAAATCGCACTCCTAGGAAGGGTTGCTAGCATGGTCGGCCCAAGACCTTGGTACATGCCGAAGAAACCCCTTTCGCGCCACACAGCTCGCCCAGTGCCAATTAGGCCCCTGTTGTTGAATGTGCGCCGTTTGCTAACGGAATCGAGTGTCCACAGCTGCAGCCCGCCCCTTCCCTGCAGTCTGGTTTTAATAACATCGAGAGGGCAGGTTACAACGCTGGACGCTGCGCCGCTAGCAGCGCCGGCAATACATCGATTTACTGTGTCCGATGAAGACGTTGGCAAATGGTCCATAAGAGAAAAGGTATTAGTTGGCTTATGTGGCTGGCTGTCTCTCGCGATGATAAAAGACACGATTGCTGCTTCCGATGCTGACGGGCGGCTAAGTAGCCATACGTGTGGTGTTAGGAGGTGAAAAGTTCCACAATGGCGCCGGAAGCCTGCGGCCAGTCATTTCCCATTATACTGGCTAGTGGAAAATGTCTCCATTACGGTCAAGTATGACGTAATTCGCGCATAGACCGTGCGGCCGCCTCCGAGACCAGTCGCTTAAAAGCAGTCGCTGCTCTGAAATAGACCCTCGCGGTAGTGCTAATACTTGTCTGAGACATTTTGCTCAGCCTACGAAAAGGACGCCTACGATCGTCCTTGGATATCAGGATTTTTTAGGGCGCGGCTATCATCGAGCTGGGAGCAGCAAACTTCTCGCATAGGCGAAGATTAGTGACCCCTATTTCTTAGTCCAGAATGCATGGTAAGAAGGGTACCTCATCGAATCAAAGAAAATAGAGAATCTTGAGCACAAAGTCGGCAAGTGGTCAAAAATTCGAAGTGAACTTGGCGGACTTCGCCACGGCGGCAAAGTTGTTCAAGTTAATGTACAAACCTGTTGACGGAGACAAGCCCTTTAGCTAAGTTAGTGGCTAGGCTCATGCGTTAGCACGGTGCGCCACTGACTTCGCCGCTCTTATTCCGGAGTTCCAGTTTAATGGTGCGTAGATTACGTCCTACCTGTTACAATACCGTACCCTCCTAGCCGCCGTAGCACTGGAAAATGCCAGGGGGTGGGTTGCACGAATCCTGCGTGAACGAGCAGACAAGTACTCAAAGTACGTTTAATGCTGTCTAATTAACATCCAAGGACCAGGGCACACAGACATGGATTAAAGTCTCGGCATGACCGAAATTGTAGAGTATCTATTTCAGCAAGGGAATGGGGGCAAGCCGCTTACCGACCATCGAAGCAGTACACCCTCCAGTTGGTGGTATCGCAACCCCCCGCAACTAACCTTCCTACCCCGCAAAATGCCTCTAGCTCAGATGTATTGGCGTGCGATGGCTACCGTGTCTCTATTTCCAACAGCGAGATCTGCAGCGAAATCGCGACACATTGACGACGTAAGACAGGGCCGTCCCGCTGATGATACGCTGTTGAGGTACAAGGCTTATTGCATGGATGCCAGATGAAGGGACAGAGTAACATCGCATAGGATCAGACTTGGAAGCGTTCCTGGCTGTCACGCATTTGTAGTGTCATGATGCCCAACGTATATCAAGCATGCCAACTCATCGATGCACAAGGTATCCTAAATGTACTTCTCACAACGTCTTGGCGCAGTGTTGGAGGGTGTTGCATTTGTGGCGGGCAACACCGCCAGTAGCGATCTTACAGCCTACAAAGCTGGAGCTAGGGTGTTATGATCGCATATGCTTGACGGTCCCCCAGCCAGGCAACGACGAAGTTTCTGCTGAAGCGGCACGCATAGTCACGTATTTGATCCAAGCGCATCCGTATCCTGTCTCCTGTATCATCCCTCAGGGTAATAGTATCATTTTGCCCCGTCAGTCGAAGAAACAGCGGCTCTGGCTGTGTTATCGCACTACATTCTCCTGATGTCGCGCTCTACAGGGTGGCAAAAACATCGCCTGCAACTAAATTCTCGGTGCCGCTTTGCGACGTGGCTGCCGAATTCGAGGACGCTGTCAAGCCCATAAACTAGAGCATGCCCATTTGACCCGTCAATTACCTGCAGCGACTCCATCAGCCATAAAGCAATCCGACGAGGATAGGAGCTGCAACAAGGCCTGATCTCGCCCCTCGCCATTGTGCTCTCAGTCACTTTGCTTGGGCACTCGGGAGCTCCCAAAGCAAACACTCTCGATGCAGGTTTTAGGCATGGATGCATATACCCATGCTCGGAGATCTAGCTGCTGACCCGTCGCCGCGCAGAAAATGCCGCTGCGATGCCATTCCTCATAACCATGCGCCATCGCCCACATTCCCGATGGGCGGACAATGTTAATATATACAGATTCAACCACATGGTCGCAAACCATCCTTCCTCTTCCACCTGCTGTCGAAATTGTCATCCACGAAGTAAGACTAGTTGTTGGACGAGCTCTGCCCACTGAGAGATGGATAGTCTGGTGGCCGGGCTGCGTTGATCCATTCCCTCACTTCGGCTTGTTGCATCTTGATGGAATCCATACTGCCGTCTGGCATATCAAAGCAGAGGTTGTCTTGTTGAATGTACAAACTTACTTGTTCCTTGAAGCTTCGTGCAAGTAGGATTCTGTAGAGAGGTGTAATATGAGGACGGAGATTGTGACAACGTTTATGCCTTCCTAGAAAGATACCGACAGCAGCGTCTCGCACGTCCCAGTCCTCGTCGCCGAACCGCGCCACCACGGCCGTGAGAACCTCGTCAGGCAGCGCCGCCCGCTCGCCTAGGGCCTGGACAGCGGCCGTTCGCACGGCGCTGTCCTCGTTGCCGAGCCGAGCCGCCACCAATTTACCAATTCTTGGCGGAACTGAAGCTCGAGAAGCTAGTAAATCCAGAATTCTTCGCTGAACACCCTTAGACTTGTCGAGTAGGGCATTCTCTAGAGCTTTCTCAGGAAACTCGGGTTCACTTGCTAGCTTCGCTCTGTTATTAAATTTGCATTCAAATAGCAGCCACTGTCCCAAGAGCTGCTCCAAGGCCCCCCGCGTTGGCAACTCTCTCGTTAACTCGCTTAAGCAATGCATGACCAGTCGTTGATGCGTAGGGCCCAAGAATTCGAGCGGTTCCTCCTCCATTGAATGAATTGAGAGGGTAAGAACATGAAGGGAATATCGAGAGAATGTATAGCTTGATCAGTAGACTGCTCCAGCCGCGTATACTGCATTTTCGCAGCTCACCAAAGTCACATCACGTCTAAGTCGACAATTTTCATTGATCATGCGCAGCCCGGAGCTACGCGACGTAGCAAAGCTCATTGGTCCAAGAAAGGCTGTCAGGCGTGAGAATCGGGTGATTTATTTTAGATAGATACCGTTCTTTGGCTGAGATGAAAGCCGACAAAGTACAAAATTGCCCGCATGGGTATCTCTCGATGAGTCGTTCGCTTTGCTGTAATTATTTTAGCTGGCTTAGTATTAGTAGCGTTATATTAGTAATATAACTATATGTATTACTATATATAGTAGTTATATTTAAGATAATATAACCTTTAAAACCTTTATTATATACAATAATATTATACTATTAAATATATTAGCCCCTTATTATTAAAATATATCTAAAAGGGTCTATAAGTTTATTATTATAAATAAAAAAACCTTTTAACTAATTTAAAGAAAATAAAGTACTAATATCTAATAAGTATATAATATTCTTTTTCTATAGTATATAGAATATACTACTCTTAAGTATTAAAAAGGAGCTCTTTTTTATATACTTCTTTTTTATTATTAATATTAACTTTTTAATACTATTAGTATTAAGAGATTAAGTTATCTATATTAAATTTAGTCTTAGTAAACTCTATTTTATTTATACTCTTATTAGTATAGTAGTATAGAAACACTTTATATTAAAAGAGAGTAAAGAACTAATTACTTATATATTTAAATAGATCCTAGATAGAAGTTAAATTAGTAATAAAGGTATAGAATATCTTTAAACTATAAGGGGGTACTATATAGATATTATAAATACACTAAGGTGCTGTAGATAAGGGGTAGGTGTAACGAACGCCTATGCCGTTAGGCCACGGGGTAAAAGATTAGGGCATTAAAAGTAATTCTAGTAATTAACGTAAGCGTAATGGTAGTATATATAGTGTAGAGTAGTGCCGCCACCACGGTTTATTACACTATACTCCTCCCCCTAGCTAGCTATCCTAGCTAGCTATAGATAAAAGGCTCCCCTAAGGCATAAATCCTAGTTCTAAGGACTTTAGTTATTAATTTAATCCCTAAGAAGGCTATTAGTGTATAAGCCCCCTATACTAGTACCTATATAGCTTCTATATATATAGTAAGCCTCCTATTAGTAGTAGGAGTTAAAGTTAGACTACTAGCTATATACTTTTAAAATATAATAAACGCCTATACTATTAGACTATAGAGTAAAAGATTAGAGTATTAAAAGTAATTCTAGTAATTAATATAAGTATAATAGTAGTATATATAGTATAGAGTAGTACCGCCACTATAGTTTATTATAGTAGGGCGGTTAGATAAAGTGACTATAGGTGTAATAGTAGCTTAATCCTAATCTATAGTTAGTCTATTTCTTAGGTAGAGAGTTAGTTTAAAAGTATAGAGTACTAATAAATAGTTATTATAGTATAAGTTATATTAAGAGATATCTCCTAATAGTTAAGCTATTATTTAGATTAATTAGTAGAGATCTAGTCTAGCTATCTACTAGAATCCCCTTCCTTATATATTTATTCTATCCTTTACTATATTCTCTAGATAGTTAGATTATCTATCTATCTATTAATTATTCTAATTATAGTAATTAATAAATAATCTATTAATTACTTTATAAGTTATATAACCTTATATTCTATTCTAGATACTAGTGTATTTAACTTAGTCTAACTCACTTAGCCCCACCTATATATTCTATATATTTATAATATAATACTCCTCTCTTAGTAGTCTTATTCTTAAGGCTAGTAATATAGGGGGCCTAGGTGGTAAGTGGTTTCTTTCCTCCTATATTATTATATACTATTATACCTACTAATTATGTTTTAAAGTAGAAGATAAAGGCCTCTTAGGTATTAGTCCTCTATTATAATAATCTTCTTATAGTTATTCTTATAAATCCTCTTCTTTAAATAATACCTTCTTATACTACTTATAAGAATTATAGTATTATAAAGTATTAGGTTTCTTCTTTATACTGTTTTTATTATATTAAGTGTATTTATTTAAACTTATTATAATATAATATTTAAAGAGTAATACTTACTTAACTATAGAATATTATTAATTAATATATTAAGCTTAAATATAAACTAGAAGAGGTAAAAGAGAAAGTTCTTTAACTTTAAAAATACAAGAAATTATAGTTTAAAGAAATAATATATACTATTATATATAGTATTAATAATATTAAAGAGTTAGAGTATATAGAATAGAAGGAAGTAGAATAGTTTTAGAAAGCTATAGGTGCTTTTTTTACTCTATCTAAAGAGTTAGATCTTTTACTAGTCTATTTCTTTAAGGCTAAATTTAGTATAGAGTCTTTTAATAGTTCTTATAGGATAAATAAGGTTACTTTTCTTTAGAGTAAAACTACTAAAGTAGTTCTAAATAACTAAATAGGTTCTTAACTAGCTCCTATATATTATTAGAATTTAAGTATCCCTTCTATTTAATAAAATAATAATAACTCTTTTTTATACTTTATATTTTAAGTATTCTCTTAACTTTATCCTTATTTATATTTTCTATAGTAATATCTATAGTAAGTATAGTATTACTTAGTACTTTCTTTAATAATAAAATATAAAATATAGAATATATCCTTATTCCCTTAAATAATAATAGTTTATAGTTAGTATTTAATATTTTTTATTTAATAAAGAATAGTTAAATCTTTTTCTAGTTAAGTTTATTACTAAGTTATTTTATTTTAATGTTTTTATAAATAAAGTAGACTTTATCTCCTCTTTTTAGAATTAGTACTAATAATCTTCTTTTATCTATATAGTACTTTATTTAATTTTATAAAAATATCTATGCTTTTTATAAGTGTTTTTATATTTCTATACTTATTACTATATTATTATAAATTAAGAATGTATATAAGGCAGCTAGGAGACAGCCTAAGGAAGCGAGTAGGTAGGAACCTATAAGTCACCTAATTAGGATATAAGGTTATATAACTAGATTACTATAGATTATAGTAAGCTAGTAGTAATCCTATAGGCATTAGGATTATAAGGATCACTAGTAATCTAGAGTGATCCTAGGAATATAGTAGAGGATAGAATAGATATATAGGGAAGGGGATTTCTAGTAGATAGTTAGACTAGATCTCTATTAATTAACCTAAGTAATAGTTCTACTATTAGGAGATATCTCTTAATATAACTTATACTATTATAACTACTTATATACACTTATATATTTAAACTAACTCTATACTTAAGAAGTAGACTAACTATAGATTAGGATTAAACTACTATTATATTTTAATTAGTCCTATTTAGTAAGTTACTTTTAAAATTATAAGTAGTTAACCTTTATAATATCTACTACTAGTAGTATAATAACTAATCTATATAATACTATAGTATAGATAAAGTAGTAGATTAATATACTTACTACTTAAATCTAGACTATAAGGAATACTAATAATAGAACCCTTATTTTACTAAAGTTCTTTAAACCTAACTTATTTAATAGAATTAAAGGAGATATTTAAAACTTTTTAACCTAAGTAAAGGCCTATTTATATATAAATACTACTATTATTAACCCTATAGTGTAGATACTTTATATTAGAAACCTCCTTATAGGAAAAGTAGTAGAGTAGTAGGAGCTAACTCTTAAGGACTATCTTAATAATAAAGAACCTAAGGATAAGACTATATAAATCTTTAGATAGTATAAACACTTTAAGGAGTTACTCTAAATAACCTTTAGAGACTTAAATAAAGTATATACTATTATATATAAGCTTAAAGCCTTTAAATAGACTAGATCTACTTAATACTTTATAAAGGAATTTAAGTGTATTTTAAACTACTTTATATAGAATAATAATAGTATAATAGAGCTACTTTATAATACTCTATAAGAAGATATAAAGGATAAAATAGTAAAGAATAATTAATCTAATACCTTTAATAAGTTTATTAGTAAGATTATTAAGGTTAATAACTAACTTTATACTAGGCGACTTAAGTATAGAGGATAAAGTAGGTAGAACTACTAGTCACTATACTACTAGTTAAATAGTAGAAGATGTATTAAAGGATCTATAGTATATAGAACTTATCTAGGCTTTATAGAACTTAATATAATATATAAAAACCCTTTTAAATAGAAGGAGAAGACTTACTATAACTATAAGAAGCTAGGACACTTTATAAATAAGTATAGAGTACTTAAAAAATAGTAAAAACTAGTAAAAGAAAACTATAGAATAAATATAATAAACTATAAAGACCTACTAACTTATAATATTAGTATAGTTAATAGTAAAGAATACTTCTTAGATAATAACTATTAGGAAGAGTATAGTATATATTCTAATAAGGACTAGGACTTTAGAACCTAGCTACTACTAGATAAAGAGGAAGAACTCTATAATATAGTTAAAATAGAAGGCTCTTCTAGTAAGATATTAGAAAAGAAGAACTTTATAAGTAAAGAATATACTATACTTAATAAAGAAAAGTTTATAATTTATAAGAATAGGAAAAGGGAATTTATAATAATTAATAGCTATAAGATTATTAACCTAAAAATACTATAAAAAGTAATTTAAATAGACTAAGACTAGCCTAATAACATTCTAGAGGACCTAGAATACTGTTACGAACAGACAAGAGTGACACAGGGCGGCCCGAGAAGGAGGCC